CCCCAAAACCCCAAAACCCCAAAACCCCAGAAGCTATTAAAGAATTTGTTATGATGAAACATTTTTTAATTGAATTTAAATCAGATATTATTTAATCTGAATGTCTAAATGAAATCTTGAGATCAAATTACATAGTTTAATCACATCTGAGATTGAAGCAATTGCTGCTTCTTTCTAACAATAGCCAATAATCTCTCCTACTTCTCGAATAACTTGAGTCCTTCCCATTTCAACTTGTACTTAGTGCTCTTTCTTTCGACTTCTATAAGATTTGGCTCTGACTTCAAGTTCATCCAAGTCAGAATCTCATTCTCAAACTCTTAGTAGTACTTTCTGGTCTCACTTATCTTCTGCTCGAATTCATTATCGCCATCGTGCTACAAGTCCTCGAATTCAGTCAATATTGAACCTTTATCCTTCAAGAAGTTTGTTACATAAGCATAGAAATTGTCCTGCTGAGTTTGGAGTTCTTGAGCTTTGGCAAGGACATAGTGAATGTCAAGACTGTTAGTAACATATTTAGAAATGATCATCTATCTCAACATCATCTGTTTTCTGGTAAGTAGCTTCATAAGGTTTATCACTGCTTGACCTGGTAGTTAAGTAATGTAAAGCAGTGACTATAACCCAATTTCCTTAGAGTATACTCTATCCTCAAAAGTGTTTTGTTTGACTAGTCTCTGTAAGTAATATTCTTATTTTTTGTTCTTCAGGACTTTCTTGATTTTATAACTCAAATAATGATGAGCTGCCATGGTCTTTGCCTCTACATAGATTGACTTGTTTAGACTTGAATTTAAAGTTTTTTGGTTCTCAGCTGTCTGAGCCTTTGAAACATCAACATGTGCGAGGAAATGCCCACCCTCCATACTTCCAGCGAAAAATTGGTGTTTATACTCCTCTTCACAGTCCTTGAATTACTTTTACAGATCATTCAAGCCTTTAGCATTAAGATAATCAAACTCAAGAAGACCATAATGATTGAAATAGTCATCAAATGTGCTGTTTGTTAGCTCATCAAATCCTTTAGTAAGTTGATCAATGGTCTTTGTAGTCTTCTTTGGATCATTCATTGCAGCAGACATGAGGATGTTAAACAACCTGATGTATTCAATCTTGAAAGTAGCTGATCTTTCATCCTTGTTAAGAATATTGATCATCTTGTTTACCCACTAGAGTGATTAATTGAATAAGTTATCCTAATCAATTTTCTCGACTATTCCGTTTTCTGCTATTTTCTTGATTGGAGTTCTTTCCTCCAAGTCAAGCACAAAGTCCTCATTATCTTCTTTTGCTTGATAGTAATTTGCTAATTAGTATTCTTGATAGTTCTAAAGGTGAGAGTAAGTGATGTCTAAATACTTGATTGCGTAGTCAGGGATGTAGACTTTGCTGTATTTGCCTATCAGAACAAGGTAAAATGCATTTTCGATAAGCTAAACGACTTCCTCAATCTCAAGGTAGTCTTAGAATGTTTAAAGGAAAGTAAAAATAGAGTCAGCAGCATTTGACCAAGATCTGTATTTCATAAAAACATGAATATCCACTGCTATCAGGAATTTCTTTAAAAGCCAAATAGTATCCTTTGCAAGCTGGTGCTGATATTTGGTGAGACTTTTGATCTCTTTCTTGATGAGCTCCACCAAAATCTCATAAGAATCAGCGAGGATAAAGTATACAAGAGCTTGCAACAATAATTGTAAATTACCTCTCATGATTGAATTTCTCTTCTCCTCTTGCTTTGAATTCAATTATTATGAAGTTTCAATGTTATTGAATAGTTTGAATCCTTGATCAAGAATTTAAGATTTGCCTACAATAGTTTGTGTTCTCTTACTCAATATGCCTTGGTCAAAGTAGAGGTAGAACATATTCTAAATGAAATAGAATGACTTGCTTGATGATGTTTGAGTTTGCTGGCCCAGACTATTGAACTTAATCAGTCCTAATTGAGTTTTCTGCCAATAAGTCTCAAGCAGATTTTTGAAGTCCTCTTTAAAGCTTAGTTGACGATACAAAGCCTTTTGGTTGTTTTCGATTCCAGAAGCGTAGGTGTTATGAATCTTGGTTGAGATCAAGGATTGATAGTTGACCTTAGAGAACTATCTTATCTCGACTACGAAATCATCGATTTTACTGTTAATGACATCATCTTGAGCAGATTCAACCTTTTCAACTGAGTTAGTGATTGACTTAAGTTCGTTAGCAAGGGAAAGGCAAAGATTTAAGAGTTTAATAACCATAAGTTTGACTGTCCAGTTTTTAGGGACCATAAGGAACTTAGCATCCATGTCTAGAATGAAAGCTGTCTCGTTCTTATCAAAGGTAAAGGCATGCTTCTGATTGAACTCTAAAGATATTTATACATTAAATTAACTTACGATTCAAGAAGTCCTTATATTGCTTGATAAAGGCGCCTCTGAAATTATTAATCATGAAGTATTTAGGTCTTAGTTCTACTAATTTCTGAGAAATAAACTCGTTGATATGGATACCATCCATGCATTGCTACAACTGTAAGATGTCTTTGGCTAAAATAGACTGAGTGCTCATCATCACATAGTTATGCTTGTAGAGTTTGAAGATACTTTCATCAGCTTCTGCCTCTTCATCATCAATGCTTGAAAGTAAGAATGTTTGATTCAACGCTTCCATTATTACTTTCTGATCAGCCTTGGTCTTTTCAAGATTAAGCACATCAATGGCCTGAGAATAGATGTTCATCAAAGTCTTAACTCCCTACCCATCGAAATAATATTTGATATCTTTAAGTACTCTAGAATAGTTCTAGGTGCCTGGAATCAACGCTAGTTGGAATGCCATGAAATACTTCTCGAAGCTTGAATTGTTTTCTTCTTTGAAGACATACTACTCAAGCACATTATAAACCTTCTCCATTCTTGCATCAAGCTCATTTTAAATCTTAGCAGCTATCTTCTCCTGGGCTTCAATCTTAGTATTCTTTTGGTGCGAGAGTATATCTTCTAGAGTCTTAGGGTTCACGAATAGCCACTTGTGAAGGTTTATTAAACTTGAAATAACTGGATTGTTTTACTCAAGATTTCTCTTGAAGCACTCATCTACCTGTCTTTCCTCGGGCTGAATCTGGATTAGGTTCAAAGTGTTGAAAAAGTCTAGTTAATATTCAGCATATACAAGTTAAACATTCCATCTTTCAATGTTACCCTTAATTCTCTGGTGCTTTTAATCATTCAAATCAATAGCCTCTCTTAGAATTTCAAAGTTAGCTCTGTCGTAAAATTTGTGACAGATTTAGAAACCTAGATATGCATTGTGAGTGTAGACAATTTTCTTCCAAAAGCCTAAGTCCATCATCATTCTGTAAGTTTCATTGCCGAAGGAATTATCCTTAGACAATCTTTCATCAATATCCTTTAATTGAAGGAATTTAGGTTCGATCAGAGTGAATACGTTGTGTATAGCCTCGTGAGCAAGAATTGAGGCAAATCTTTACTTCTCCCTCCAAGTTTGGTTGAATTAGCTGTTCTTGAGAAGTTGAAGGTTGAATCTGTGATTGTGAAGATTTGAGTACTTGGAGCAAACCGAGATAATGTATCTACCGAGTCTTTCACTCATGTGATATCTGTTGCAGATCATGAGGCAAAGTCTGAACAACTCATAGTACTCTAAGACATCAAGAATGAGATTGACGAATTCCTAGTCCACCTCATCCAAGTCAATCATGAAGTCTTCCTCCTGAGCTTTTGAATCTTTTTCTGCCTGTTTATCAGGATTGGAGTGAAGCATCTTCTTTGACCTGATGTTAGTTAAATAGGATGATACTTCATCTGAGAAAAGAGACACATAATAGATAATCTTCTAAGTAATGACATCCTCAGCATAAATATCTCTGTTATTTTCAATAAGAGCAATTGTATTTTTGCTTGCCATACTTCCAAGACTGATTACTGATCCAACTTTCTTTCCATTAATCAATGAAAAATCTGAAGTCTAAGAAATACTCTTTCTGCTTAGAATACTTTCAATAATTGAAACACTCTTGCTAGATCTCAAAAACTCATCTTCTGGGTCGTATTAGCTAAGATGCTCAAAGTCATCAGTGTTGAAATTCTTACCCTCTTCTTTTTCTCCTTCTTACTACTACTTTTCTTCTTCCTCATCAATATTCTTAGCCTCATCGTCATCAATGATCTCGAAGGACTATTCAGTTTTATTGAGAGCTTCTCTCTTTTTCTTTGATTCCTCTTCTTCTTTCATTGATGATTTCTACCTCTTAAGATTGAAGACCTCATCTAAAATATCTGGCATCATAGCGTCATCGTCTTCAATTAAATCGATTTCATCATCATTATTTTCACCGTCTTTTTCTTCTTACTAAATCTGCTCTTCCTTAGCTTCCTCGTTTTCTTTAGGTTCATCCTCTTGCTTAGAAGCTAACTCTTCTTGAATTTCTGCTTCATCAAGAGTTTCGGCATCATCATCATCCTCATCTTCTTCTGCAATTACATCTACTTTCTTTTGATACTTAAGCTTAATCTTCATCTCCTACATTTTACCCTTATTCTCCTCATCCAGTTGGTTATCATCGTCCTCTTATGAATAAAGTTTATAAAGACTATTCAGGGCAACTGGTACATACTTATTGATAAGTGATTGTCTCTCCTCAAGTTTGAAGAATTCCTTGTTTCTGTGAAGACAATGAAGAAGTTGTTCCCACTCTCCACACGACTCGTAACACTCAATTGATTTAGTAATAAGATTGGCTCTTTCAAAGAGTCTTGCAGCTCTCTTAAGTTCGTCAACCTAAAGGTAGCACTCAGCAGCTTGTCCATACTTTTCAAGCTTCTCAAATATTTCTCCTGCTTTGTTGAATCCTCTTCCTGTGAAATAACATGATGCAGCATGCTTAAGCATATCAATAGACTCAAATAGGGCTCCAGCAGTAAGGAAATGCCTCTTAGCAATTATTCTCTCTCTTTTAGCTTCTTTTTAAAGCCTTCTTTTGTCAAATTTGGCTAAATGCTTAATGACCTTGGCTCTCCAACTTTTATTCTCAGCTTCAGCAAGCTTAGTCTGACCTATTTCAGCCTCTTAATATGCAAGACATCTCTTCACTAGATCATCATCATTTGAGTTTTAGAAGCATTTCCTAGCAGCGTCGTAGTACTTCTTCTTGAAGAGCTTGATACCTTGGATTCTCCACTCATCTTAGGTACTTCTCTCTTTAATTAGAGCACCGGTTAAGAAGATATCCTTCACATTTTCGGGTAAAGTTTCTGGCTAAGCCACCATATCTTTAGTAACAACTTCAATAGTTCCTAATTTCTCCCAATAATTTTGGATGGGCTTTCTTCCATCTGCAACATCATCATAAATTATAAGTCTTCTCTTAGGTCTAGTAATAGCTACATAGAGGAACTTAAGTTCAATGCAAAGCATAGAGAACTTTCTGTAGACTTCATCTCTATGTCTACTAACTGAGAGTTGCAAATCGTCTTCATACTCTTGATCTTTTTCATTTCTTTCATTTTACTTGATCTTCTTCATGATCTCCTCAAATTTTTCAACATCAAGGCAATCAAAATCCAAGATTTCAGCATCATACTTAACTCTCTTGACATTCTAGTAGACAATATCATTTAGGAGTTTCCATTCTGATTTAGCAATATCTCCTAAGTGGAAGAAGTTATACAATATCACATCATCGAATTCAAGACCTTTAGCCTCATAAACTGATAGCACTAGCATATTTTTGAACAGATCTGGAATCAAATCTTTGGCAGCTTAGTCTCTAACAATAAGTACTTAGTTGCATCCGAACTGAGGTGCAGCGAGTACTGAGTCTTTATCTGATGTCATACTTGTGCCAGCAAACAGATTTCTCATTTATCTGCCATCTAAGGGCATGATAACTAATGGCTTCATTCCATCCTTATCCGATTCTTCCTTTACCAGCTTATCTATTGTCTTTGGGAAGAAGAGTTCAATTAAACTGACCACAGAATTGGCTAAGTCCAATATCTTTCCATGAGATCTGTAGTTAGTGGCAAGTTAAACAATCTTTGGAACTTCTACATTAAGACTAGAGAAAATGTGTCTGAGATCTAGGAATCTAGCACCAACACCTTTAGCGATTGTCTAGGCTGTATCACCTGCAAAGAATACATTGTGAGCTGTCAGCTTCAATAATATCTAAAGAGTTTTTGGAGTAAGATCTTGCACTTCATCAACCATGAGATAATCCATTTTCATCCTTCTTACAGTCTCCCCATACCAGAGTCGTTTTTGGATATGATTAACTATATCCATGAAATCATATGCTCTTTGTTCAGCCTTCCACTTTTCGTACTCTAGGAATATGTAATAAATAGCTTTCTTCTCATCTAAGTACAAAAATTCTGAAGCTTCTTCCTTGATGTAAACATCTCTAGGCAAGTATCCCATATAGTAGAGTCCACTTTACATTCCACCTTTGATCACAGAGTAGATTTCAGTCCAAACCAATGTTGGGGAAAATTTCTTTAAGTTCTTTCTTGTTATAATTTTAGGCCAGAATTTCTACTCGAATGTATCATAGTCAACTTCAAAAGAAAGCTACTATCTTTCAAGAAGGTATTGCTTTTCTGTGTATCTATTGTGAAGACTTCCAACATATCTTGACTGAGGTTAATTTGATTCATTAATCATCATGAAATTTCTGTTATCTCCCTAGTCTTCAAAGTTGTTATCAATTTCAGCATCTTTATCCATCTCTAGGATCTCCTTGCCGAATTTAGCGAGCTGTTCATCATAATCTATATTTTCCTTATAATAATGATTTATCATCAGGACTCCCTTGGACTCATTGTGCCATCCTAGATTTGAATCTAGACCTATGATGTTGTTGTTATTGTCTCTAGAAAAGAATGAGTAGTTAAGACAAGCATCAAGCATGTAAATTAGCTTCTTGACAGTAACAAATAAGGGGAAATGACGAGATGTCAAGTTATCAAAAGAATTCGGAATGTTCATGTGAGTCTCTAAACTCAAGTCATCAACCAAATCTCTCTCCTCCTTGTTGATGAATTGAAGCATTTCCTAGAGTTCGTGATCTTCAGGTCCTTTCTTTCCAGTTTCCTTTTAATGCTCATCAATCGAGTCTTCAATTATTTCTAAGGCTTCATCTTCAGTTATATCTTAGAAGCCCTCTTTATTTAATAATGCCTATGCTCTGGCCTCTTCCCTCTTCTTCAAGTGATTGATCAATTTGAGCTTGATGCTTCCATAAAATCTTTTGACTTCAGTAGTTAGTACGGGGGAAGCAGTAATGAAGACCATCTTAATTCCAGTATCGTTTTCCAAGTCTTTTGAGTCTAGCATAGGCTCCTTTTGCTTGATTTTTTCTTCATCTTGTCTTTTATATTCAGCCTCTATACTAGGATCTTATTCGATAGCGAGTTTTCTTTTCTCTTCTTAGTCCTTCTTCTTAATTTATTTTTCATGATGTTTTTTCAAAACGCAAAACAAAACTTCCTAGGCGAATAGTCTCAGCACTGAGGTGGTAGTCTTCCCTGTTCCTGACCTACCGAGACACAGTAAATTTTAGTTAGATGACACAATATTTTTTTGTAACTTGCTTAACTTAATATCCAAGGTTGGCATGAGATCTAAGATTTAAACTAGCTTCTTAGTAGTCTTTTTGTTATCAAGCTCATCCATAACCTTGGCTTGAACTTAAACTTGAGTAGCTTTACTTTAAATTTCAACTTGCTGAGCGTTTACGAAATACCATCTCCTTTTGTTCTTGTCAAACAAAAAGTTATGAGTAGGTGGTTCTTTCAACATCCATCTAAATATCTTGAGTGGCCTTATATAGTAAGATATAATGTCTCCTTTGAATAAGTGCTTGAACTAGACAGCGATTTGCAGTTCATTCACTGGAGCATCTCTTCTGAAATTAACGTTTTGATAGTTGAAGCACTCAAATTTGTCATTGTCTCCTCTGATATCTACTTTGTGAGTATCATGGTAACTCTTTCTGTTGTTTCTTATGTACTCGATGGTGGAAATTTGGTTGATCAAGATATACTATCTGTACTTAAATTCCTGAACGCATTCTTTTTCAGTGAAGCACACTGGAATTCTTTCAGGGTTGATGGTACTGATAATGCACCTTTCTTCGTCTAAAGCTTCACAAAAGATCACACAATAAGCTATTGATGGATCAATGCCCCAATTTTAGTGCTTTGGATTTTTGCCAATGTACTTGTGCAAAAATAGAATACCTCTTGCCATTAAAGATATGTAGAAAAGGAGAACTTCAATATCTAAGTCTGAAAATAACTTAATTTCAGCAATAAATTGAGAGTGAAGTCTGATATCCCATTCTGACTTGATATCTCCAAAGAAGTTTACTTCAGTGTATGCTTTATGGCCTATAAGTTTTATAGCCTAGTGAATATCATCCTTTGATTTTTGCAAGAGATCGAGTAACTTCTCCTCTGTAAAATCAAGAGTCCTAGTTTCTTTCATGTAATTGCCACCGTCAAAGTCTAAAGCTTTGCAGGCGTTATGAGACTCAAAGTATGTGCCAATAGCTTGTTATATGTTCTCAAGAAATGCTTACTGATCTACTGGTACATTGCTCTAGTTATAAAACTGTTTTCTTAAACTAAAATAATTAAGATTTCATGAGATAAAGCTTACTAATTGTTTCTGTCCATGTAGAGTTGAACCCTAGATTTAAGGTACTTGGTTTGTTCCTGAGCATCTACAGTCTCACTTTTGGCGTACATCTTGTAGGCCAAATGGAGATTGTCGGTAAATTGAATTTCCTCGTATCTTGTCAGATTCATTTTCTGTATCAATAAATTAAATATATATCTGTGAAATTGATATTTTAGAATTATATAGTTAAATCCTCCTATCAGGAATGGACGGTGGGGTTTTGGGGTTTTGGGG